ATTGTCATCTCATTGGTGGAAGACTTGAATGTCAGTCACTTTAGCCCATTTCAAACATGGCACCCAACTCTGAACTGCCATTATGTACTATTAAGATGGAACTAGCAGTTACATGAGAGGGCAGCTTGCTACAGAAACAATGTCCTTACAAGTATACCTCACTCAGCTTGAGCACATCTCTCATTAAAAGTCGATCATTGTAATGTTCCTCCTGGTATCAAATTACAATGGGGGAAGAAGCTGAATTATTGTGAAAGGGTTTGTAAGCAGCTCAGTGTGGTAGGCACTCTTGTTTGAGAAGTGGAATCCCTCATAGTACAATGGAACTGGTTTTGTGTGCATCAGTGACACAAAGTCCATAGGTCTGCTTAACATTGCCAGAGATGCAGAGAAGGCCAACTTCTACTTTTAGGTTCAGAATGTGAGTTTGAGTGGGTGGCAACATTGTGGGCAAAGATAATCGTTAGTGCATTGTTTTGCTACATAATTTATACTGTGTGAGATTTGAGGTTGTCACAATGGTAACCGTGAAGAGTACCATCTTCTGAGATGTGACATTTGTGTTTGAAAGAATGTAATTTTGTACCAATATGTACCACTACTCACACTCATATATCAGGTAATTCATTGAATGTCATAATAATAGAAAGACAAGCATTGAGATTTCTTTGTCACAAGCTGATGACTGTTTGTTATGTAAGAAGTACCTGTTAAGTCACATTTTCAAGAGTCCAATTTACGTAGATGTACACGTTCTTTAGTGGAATATTTGTTGATGCTGTGTTGGTCACTCAGTGTGAGTGAATCTTATTCTGTTACAATGAATGTTCTAGCATTCGCATTCACAAACAGGTTCCTTCCTTGAAATTGATTTCCATCCATAGTGTGGAAGGGGATGGATGGTATTTTCTTTCCCTGTGGTACCATAATGACATGACAGCCTAACATTACTTCCAGACTTATGGCTTGATTTATTCGACCCCTCAAACCCCTAGTAGAGGGTGCACAGAGAAACAGACTAACATTTATTTTCCTAGCCTTGACAGAATATTAAAGTGCCTCTCATCTGTTTGTTTTCATACTAAACACCAGTTTGATTATTTTTGTATAGGAATTTTGACTGCTATTGACATTCAGTGTGATCTATGGGGTATGTTATATATGTATGTAAGAAGGTGATTATTTTAATAATTGATTTCCTAACCCTGTGTTAAGTGGATCCCTTGTTACACAGCATGGTGTGTCCTCAGATTGTGGATGGAGGTCTCCAGATATGGAGGGTAGCTGAGAATATATTTAAGTGGACAGCCAACAAGGGGTGGTCCTCTAGCATGGGGGTTTGGGGTGGGGCTAACAACTCCTCACCTTAAAATATAAGCTTCTTACAAAATGTTACAGGGACCTTGGACTTTGATGGAATTATTCAGATGACCTAAATTAAGGAAAATGGACATGAGATTTGTTACATGGAATGTAAGAAGTGTGTATAGGGCAGGTTCACTCATAACAGCTGTGAAAGAAATGTCAATATAAGTTAGATTTAGTGGGAGTACTGGGGGTCAGATGGGACAGGTGTGGCACCAAACCAACAGGTGAATATGCATTTTTCTGTGGAAAAGGGAATGAGAATGATGAATTAAGTAGAAGTTTTTTTTGTACTTAAGTTAATCATGTCAGCAGTTAACAGAGTGGAGTTTGTTAGTGATATTATAAAAGATTATTAACGCCATCCAGTGTGAGCAAGCAAGGGGGCATATTACAGATTGCAGACGTAGCAAAACAACGGGCTAAGAAACAGAAAAACAAGCTGCAGAAACGAACCTTCTGGAATAATCACATAGCTCTAAACAAGTGGATGATTCCCCTTATGAGGTGGAATAGGATTTTGTGAAAAAATTTAATGGATTTTGATTAATTACTTATGTCATTTTAAAGGGACTGCATTTGTGGTGGACAAAGTGACGCTGGGGCAGGTTTTCTCCAAGTACTTCAGTTTCCCCTGCCAAGCTTCATTCCACCATATTCTCCATCATCATAATCACCCAGGGCAGGCTACAATAGGCCAATCAGTGGCTGCCATGCTGAGTGGACCCAGTAGGATTCCACCCCCCACTAAGTGAATTTAATTTTTTAAGTGGACTGCAACGCGTGGTTTTAGCGCACATCAGAGTAGTGTAACAGTTTGAATGCCTTAAGACACCTGAAGATGGCCATCTATAGCCGAAACATGTTGTGTTAAGCGTTAAATGGTGAATAAATAATTGTTGCATTATTGACAGACTGTGGATACATAGATGTTTCATTGATAAATGTTGTGTTTTTTAATCTTTCATCCTTTACATGTTTCGGTTGGAGTGACCATCTTCAGGACATTATTAATACATACAGAAACTACTATTACAATGTCATAGATATAAAATATTGTATCCTTTAACAATATCTAAGATGTGCATGAATTTGTTAAAACATTTGTAAATTATTATAATTAGTCTATTTACAAAGAAATGTTTAAAAACCTTTTTGTTAAAATCCAGAACTAATTTGGTTCATGTCTTTATACCTCTCTTTAAAGGAAGATGAACATATTCCACGTTGTGGTTCCATTATTTAAAGGATAGGACTCTTTAGTGTCATTGCCCAGGCTGAACCAAATAAAAAGTTGTTAGTAATAGGATGTCGTACATAATACCAAGAGGTCGCTGTTGTGATCTCATTGTTCTGAATGTTCATGACCGAACAGAGGATAAAATTGATGAAATGAAGGGCAGCTTCTATGACAAACTAGAACATGTGTTTGAAAAATCACCTAAATATCATATGAAACTTTGTAGGAGATTTCAGTGCCAAAGTAGATAGGGAAGACATTTTCAAACCAGCAGTTTGGAATGAGAGTTTGCACAAGATTAGTAATGATAATGGATTTGGAGTAGCAAACTTTGCCACATTAAAAAATGTGATTGTCAAATACACAGTGTTCCCACATCATAACATTCATAAATTAGACAACTCCTGAAGGAAAGCCTCACAATCAAATAGACCATACTTTAATAGATAGAAACTAAGAAATCATGTTGCAATTCATATATTTGATTTGTAGTGTTAATTTAACACCATGCAGCATGGTTCTTTGTGATAATTTAATACTCACTGAGTTGCATAAGAAATTTCCAGCCTTTTGGTATTTATTATCATGTTCACAGGAGCCTGCCACCAGTCCATATCCTGAACCAGCTGAATCCAGCCTACACACTGCTGTCCGGTTTCTTTAAGGTCTATTTTATTATCCTCCCAGATATCCTTATCAGACTTGTATGCGTTTCTCTTTCTGTCACAGGTGCCGTGTGGCCCACTCATCTTGTCACCATTGTTCAGCCTAATAGTGTTTAGTGGGGAAGCTCTTCATTATGCAGTTTTCTCCAATCCATTGTTACCTCCTGGCCCTCAGATCCAAGTATTTTCCTCGGCCTGCTGTTCTCAACGACCTTCAACCTATCGTTCTTTGTTCATGCAAGGATCCAAATTTCACATCCGTTCAATACAAGTGGTAGAATTATAAGTTAACGAAATGAATCTTAAAATTTTAGATAGCCCACAGGAAGACAAAGGATCTTAACTGAGTGTAGCAAACATTCAGTCCCCTAAATTTTTTAATGACTGCAGTTTTAATTTGTTTCTATCATTGAACGTTTTTAAAGGTATTTTTACTTTTTTTATACTACGATTTTGTCTTGGAATTTGGTGCTGACATATGAACGTAGTTCTTTTGAGTATTGTGTAGTGTTCAAGAGCTGCAAAATTGGAGAAGAATGGATAAACAGATGCTGGATGCCCATATAGAATATGTCTTGTAATACATATTTGCTACTTTCAGGTTTGGATTACAGTGCAGGGATTTTCACATTCTTCAGGAATTTTACAGTTAAACATTGACATGGCATCCACAAATGTTGTTGCATCTGTGTTTAATTTTTCAGGCCTGCCACAACTGCAGCAGCCAGCAGATCAGCGAGTGTTCCCAGGACAGACAGCTTACTTCAGTTGTTGGGTGAATGCTATTCCACAAGCCACTATCACATGGCTGAAAGATGAACGACCATTACACCTGGATGAGACTCGCATGTTGGTCCTGCCCTCTGGTGAGACCATATTCTCATGGAGAAATAAGTTTCTCTCCTGAATTCATTAGTGAGTTTATATTGTATTGGTCCTTCTGTACCAGTACCACCTGAATACTTGAGAGGCTGCAGATGGTGCAGAGCTGAAAGAAGTTTTCACTTTCAGAATGCTCACAGAAATAAAGTGTGTATTAATGTTCTAATGTCTGGGCATTATGGTTATCTTTGACATTCAGAATTCAAAACTTAATTTTTAATTTGAACTATATTTTGCAGACCCCACCTTATCGTGATGGTGGGGTTTGAGAGCTCCTGAGACCCTGAGAGCTATGCCGGCGGTAGTGTAGCTACTGGTAGGACCACCCATGCCGGACAGGTCAAGGGGTAGGAGCCAGACAGAGAGGGATACCCTGGTCCTCCAGGTTGGGAGTTGGGCATGAGGCCAACAACCTCACACCATAAAAACTAAGTTCTTCAGAAATCCAAGGAAAGAGTAGCCGGACAGACCTATTCAAGATGACCTGGAAAATGTTTAAAGGATTTGAGAATTGGATCTTGGAATGTATGTGTATTATCTCTTTACAGAGCCGGAGCACTAAAAATGCTACTTGAACAACTAGATAGCTATAAACTAGATATCACTGCTATACAAGAACTGAGGTGGTTGGGTAAAGGAGTCATGGAAAAGAGGGATCATGTTGTACTCTATAGTTGTCAGAAGAAGAGTCACATGTTTGGAACAGGTTATATTGTTAATAAGAAAAGGAAGCATCTTATTTTAGCCTTCCAGGCAAAATCTCACAGAACATGTAGACTACGAATTAAGGAAAGTTTTTTAACTATAGCCTTGTTTGTGCACATGCCCCAACTGAAGATAAAAGTGATGAGGAGAAAGACTCCCTTTATGATGAATTGGATGAAATATATGGCGAATGTCCAAAAAGAGATTGTAAAATAATCATAGGGGACAAGAATGCTAAAGTGGGGAATGAGGATGTATATAGATCGGTTATTGGAAAACATAGCCTACATAACAAGTCAAACGATAATGGGATGAGATTAATAAATTTTGCTTCCTCAAGAAACATGGTAGTAGGTAGTGCAATGTTTAATCAGAAGGATATACATAAACGAACCTGGAAATCCCCTGATGGAAATGTGTTTAACCAAATTGAACACATCCTAATAGATGTAAGACATTGTTCAGACTTGATAGATGTCAGGAGCTACAGAGGGGCCAACATTGACTCTGATCATTACTTAATAATATCAAAGATTAGAAGTCAAATATCTAATGCAAGGAAGATACATGGATCCCAGCCTAAGAAATTGAATGGTGGAAAATTGGTGGAACAAGGAGATGTACTGGATTAATTAGTGAATGCCTGGCGGGTCTCTCTGATAGTGAGGATGTCAGTGAAGCTTGGAGGGGCCTCAGAGATGTTATTATAAATGCTGCTGATGCAGTTTTAGGAAGAGTGGAAAGGATAAAGTATAAGAATTGGTTTGATGGAGAGTGTGAGCAAGTGACAAATAAAAAAAACCAGGCATATAAGAGAATGCAGCAAAGGAACCATACTCGAGGGGCCATGGAAGAATAACGTGAAACGAGAAGAAAAGAAAAAATAATTGCATGCAAAGAAGAAAAGGGAATATGATAAACAAGAACTGATTGAACTGGAGCATTTAAGAAGTTCAGATGAAATTAGAGAGTTTTATCAAAAACTAAACAAGAGTCAAAAGGACTTTCAATCTAGAACAACCTTATGTAGAGATAAAGAAGGCATGATATTGAGTAGCGATGAAGCAATACTGGAAAGACGGGTGCAATATTTTGAGGAATTATTAAATGGTAATGCCTCCGAACGAGTGGAAGGTATGACCATAGACTGCAATGAAGGAAATTTTGAGGTTGAAGAGCCGGCGCCGACCATAAAAGAAGTAGAACATGCTACCAAAAAATTGAAAAATAATGAAGCTCCAGGAATGGATCTCATCATGGCAGAATTAGTGAAATTTGCAGGCCCAGAATATGCTAAGCACTTACATCAGCTAATAGTTAAGATATGGATAACTGAAATACCGTATTTACGCATGTATAGGCCGCACATTTTTTGCCAAAAATTCAAGAGGAAAATTGGGGTGCGGCTTATATTCGAAATATTCGAAATCACACTTCATTTAAAAAAAAATTATATTCATAATTAGTAATACAGTGTGTAATACTCCTGAAATAATATTCCAAGAAAATTATTTTTTCTATAATTTCTATCTGAAAATTGTGCTGCAGCCTGTACACGCACACGGCCTATACATGCGTAAATACAGTAATCCCAGAGAAATGGAACCTAAGTATTCTATGCCCTATCCATAAGAAAGGTGGTGTCATGGTATGCCCTAACTATAGAGGAATTAGTCTGTTGTGCATAGCATATAAAATATTTTCCAACATTCTATTTAACAGACTCTCTCCCTTTGTGGAAGGCATAATTGGGGATTACCAATGTGGGTTTCATCAAGGAAGATCAACTAATTATCAGATCTTCACTATTTGCCAGGTCCTTGAAAAGTGTAATGAATTCCAAATTGAAACATCATCTTTTCATTGACTTCTGATCAGCCTATGACTCCACAGATAGAAATAGTCTTTTTTCTGGCAATGGAAGAGATTCCCATTCCACGGAAGTTAATCACCTTAGTCAGAGCCACTATGAGAAAGACCCAATGCCAAATTAAGATTCAGAATATGTTGTCCAGCCCCATAATAACTAGAAATGGAGTTAGACAAGGGGATTCCCTAGCCTGCCTTTTGTTGAATATAGCATTAGAGAAGGTAGTTAGAGATGCAGGCATCAATACAAGGGGAACTATATTCTATAAGTTAGTTTGAATTTTGGAATTTGCAGATGATATCGATATAATTGGTAGAACACAAAAATCTATGAAAGAAGCTTTTCTTAATTTGGAAAGAGCAGCAAAAAAGATGAATCTACAAATTAACCAAAATAAAACAAAGTACATGCCAGTAACCAAGAAAGACTGTGCTAATGGACCTGCATATATTGAGATTGGCTCATATAAATTTGAGGTTGTATGTAGTTTTACTTACCTTGGATCAGAAGTTAACTGTAGAAATGGCATCAGTGATGAAATAAAAAAGCGTGTACTTGCGGCAAATAAATGTCTCCATGGCCTTAGGAAGCACCTGAAATCCCAACTAATACCCAGGAAAACAAAAACTATGATGTATAAAGTACTTATAAGGTCATTGCTATCTTATGTCTCTGAGGCCTGGCCACTGTCAAGATTGGATGAAAGACTGTTAAGTATATTTGAAAGGAGAATCCTGAGATATATCTTTGGACCAGTGGAAGAAAATGGAATATGGAGGAAGAGGTATAACCATGAGCTATACAAACTATTTAATGAACCAGACATTATTTGATTTATAAAGGTGAAAAAGCTTGAATGGGCTGGACACATAATATGTGCCAGTGAGAATAGAATGATTAAGAAAATACTTAATACTAAACCAGAAGGAAATATAAAAGTGGGAAAACCAAGATTGAAATGGGAAGAATGTGTGTGGCAGGACATACGAATTTTGGGTATAAAGAACTGAAGGAATATAACATCGAATGGAGAAGAATGGCGAGCAATCCTCAGGAAGGCGAGGGCTGACAAAGGGCTGTCGTACCAGTGATGATGATGATGATCATCATCATCATTTTTGCAGAATAATGAAACTGACACCCAAAAGAAAGTGATAACAACTTACCTTTACCACATTACCACATAACCCACCTGACATAGTGTTTAAAAGGTATATAAGGCTTTTGAGATTACATGTACACATGCGGACACTGCAGGAGCTTGAGTTCGATCCAACGTCAGGACATGTGAGATTTATGGTGACGCTGGGGTGGGCGTTCTCTAAGTACTTCAGTTTCTCCTGCCAATCCTAATTCCACCAACTGCTTTATGTCTTTCCTATTGTCAAAGCTGTCTAGTCTCAATACTGACAGTGTTATTAAAGAACAATTTAAAACTGGAATTTCATGTAGAAAATTAAGGTCTCCACAAGGCATATTACCAAAATATAACAAGGCAGAAAGTATTGCTCTTGCACCTGGACACCCTATTAGAAGCATGTGATTAAAGGCATCATGCTTTCTCACATTAAATCTCTAGGTATAAAAATTGTGGCTGAAGGTTTTAAGATCAGCATCTTGTAGTGTTATAGGTGGTCACCCCCTATGAATCTACACTGTGTCACAGGGTGGGTTGGTCCTGAGCTGATCTTGCAAACACTATTTGGGATGTGTTCACTTTTCGGAATCTTGTTCAGAACATTTGCTGTCCTGACTGTTTCCTTAGTTTTCATCAGTCCCTCCAGTCAAATGCCATGATAATACCTCAGGTAGGCCATGACCACTTCCTTCAAAATTCAGTCTTCATCAGACATCCTACTGTTCAGTGCTATGTAGTCTAGATACTAAAAGTGAATTCTACATGCTGATTGCAGGAGCACTGGAGATTGATGAAGTGAGAGCATCAGATCAAGGAAGCTACCGGTGTAATGCCTCAAGCCTGGACCAGCATCGTCTCAGTATTGCTGTTACACTCAGCATTAACATGAATCTTGGTGAGTTTTTGAAACATTTTAAAAAATTACATTGATCTGAGCTGTCCAGGTTAGGCTTATTTGGCAGCATCAGGTTTGTTTGATGACCTCCATATACCATTATCGCTGTCATCAGTTACAGTGAATGTATCGGGCACATAGTCATATCCTTGTTCTGCGCACTGACAAACAGAAGTTGAACAGCAGTTCATCAGAAACTTCCATTTTTAGCTGTTTCCATGCTAACTAACTCCATAGAGCAGAATTTCTGAGACTTGAGGCTTTCACAGCGGTGACTATGAAGAAAGCAGTCTTCTGGGATTTGGCACCGTGTATATGTGGTGTTAACCGACGTTTCGGACGAACGTATCGCCTCCATCTTCAGGGTAGGAGAAAAAATATAAGAAATCTGCAAGCGAAGAGACCGTGAGAACCGGTAAAAGCAGACTGTCGGTTAACACCACATATACACGGTACCAAATCCCAGAAGACTGCTTTCTTCAATTTCTGAGACGTCGATAGCTACTCATATAGTCAAGAAATTTAGTGCATTTTACAGATCCTAAAATTTTCTGATCATGTTGATGAGAGCCTGCCACTGGATTCTGTCCCGAGCCTTTTATTTACGTCTGTCAGACAGGCAGGAAGAACATTCAATACCAGATATAAAGAACATATTCATGACATTAGAAGCAACATCAGTAACACTGGATTCTCACACTACATATTGAACACTGGACATACATACAGAACAATGGCAGATAGCATGGAAATCATAACAATAGAGTGGAAGAGAAAATATTTGAATACACTTGAAAAGTATCACATTTGCGAAATCAGTAGGGATAATCTGCATGTGGATGACACATATTGATACACACAATCTCATATTCAAAGCGGTGCACAAAATTACACAAGACAACAGTACAGGCACTTCCCCCGCCCTTCCCCTCACCCCTCACCACCATGGTATACTATAAATATGGAAGTAAACACACTATAGACATGCACAGTATCTACCACAAGAGAGGAGAACACCATAAGCTAGTGGAGAGAGCAACGTATTAACAAGGGGCAAAGTGAGTAAATGTAAACAATCGTAATACTAGTAACAAAAATCAAAAACAATAATAAATTTGGGTTTTTATATATTGCAGATGTAACCACAAAAACAGGCTTACATACAGAAAACAACAGACCACTTCAACATAAACATCCAAGGAACGAGATTGAAATATATTGTCTGGACAAGTGGATGACACCCTAGTGAGGTGTAAAAAAGACTTACAGAAATTTTAAGAAAAAAATGTAATAAATGTTAGTAGAACGTAAATTACAGCATATGTTAATGTAACTAATGTTAGCTAGATTGTGATTACGACATTTAAAATAATGGAATATTGCAGTTACATGTGAAGTGAATGAGTGACAGTCAATACAGTATAACAGTTTTGGCAAATTAAGATAACTGATGATGGCCGGTTGGGGCTGAAACATATTTTAAAAGGGAAAGTGAAAGGAAAAGAATAGAAATAGTTGCATTGTTGACAGAAGCGTATTATTGTGAGTAAGATTTCATGGGGCACATGGTAGCGTAGTTGGTTGAGGCACTGTGCTACAAGCCAGAAGGTCACGGTATCAAATCCTGATGAGGTGGATTTTTTCAATTTACCTAATCCTTCCAGCCACACTGTGGCCCTGGGGTTGACTCAGCCTCTAACAGAAATAAGTACCAGGAATATTCCTGGGGATAAAGGATGGCCAGTGCATAAGGCTGACAATCTCACTGCCATCTGAGCCGATTGTCTAGAAAATGTGGAATCCTCAACATCTCACAACCCTATGGGCCTCCACGGCCTATTACAGGGATACCTCTACTTTTACTTACTTACTTTAAAATGTTACTTTCAGGTAGACAGTTATAAGTGGTAAATTAAATGTCCTATAGCTGGAAGGTATATATAAGTTGGAAAATCTGTTATTACTCTGTCTCCCATGTGGATTTTGTTTGTCATCATCTCTGTCCTATTAGAAAGCTGATAAGTGAAAAATTATTCAGCATTAGGCTTACTTACTTAGGCTTGCAAATACTCAGGAAACCACGAATAATGTTTTGGGACTGACAATTGCACCACTGCATTAATTATAGTGCCTGATGTCAGAGACAGCTTCCATTGCACTGAGTGTCATGTTTTCTGTTGGCAGAAGCAGGTGCAAACATAATGCCACCTGTGTTTGTGGCAACACCCAGGTCATCTGTGGTAATTGAGGGCAGCACTGTGACACTGGACTGTGCAGCCAATGGCAACCCTCGACCATGGCTGACATGGCTGAAGGATGGCATCACCATTGATATGGCGTAAGTGAATGAGGTGTTAAGCTCTACTGAAGGGAAAGGACACTAACAGCTGGATGACTTTCATTAAAAAAAAATTAGTCTGAGATTTGAGGTGTGGTGGTGACTGTAAAGTGTACTATCTTCTGGAATGTTACACTATGTGATCTTGTAGAAATTTACCAACATTTTTTAGGCATATTCTGCCTCCGTTGTCACCTTGCTCTGCTTATTGCTTGCCTCCACTTTGACCCTGAAGATGGAGGCAGTGCATTGCTCCTAAACATTTGTAAACTTCTAACCAGACTGTACAGTATAACATCTTAGAAGTCAGTATTCTTCAAAATTGGTATGATTATTATAAATATATTCACAGATACAATTTACACAATGTAATATGGGATCTTAATCTCACTAGTCAGTGAAACTTGTTTTGTTCTGGTCAGTGTTTATTTTAAACGTGTTTTAAGCCTTCATGCTAAGTCGATGCTCAGTCCATTTTAGGTTCAAATCCAGTCTGAAGGATAAATTTCCATTAATTTCTCAAAATAAATTTAATTAAAAATCTCTTATGCAGTAGAGTTATTACATTATGATAAACTAATAGTGCAGCTGATGGGTGCTTACACATCTCTGCCCTGCCTTGTCATGTAAATTATACCAGCAGGCTTATTACAGTGGATGGTATCATTAGACATTTAGTTCCTGGCTACAGATCCAGAGGTCCGGGTTCAATTCCTGGCTCTACCAGATTTTTGCTGAGAAGTAGTGGGTCTGGAATGGGGTCCACTCAGCCTCGTGATGATAATTGAGAAGCTATTTTAAGGAAATAGTGGCTCCGGTCTAGAAAACCGAAATTAACGGCCATGGGGATTCATTGCGCTGACCATGCAACACCCTCTATCCACAAAAGTTGGCACTAAACTTCACCGACAAGAAGCGGTCGTTCGGTCGGTATGGTTCGCTTGTGGACTAAAATCACGGAGTTTGTGTTTTTTGTTTTGTTTGTTGATGCTGTCTGCTGTATGGCATGTGGTCCCATGGCAGAAATAGAAGTCTGTGTATGTGATCAGATTATTCATGATCAGTTTCTGAAGAATTACCAAACGTGTTAACACAGCAGTGCTCTGTAATGCTCCTGACATTTTTAAGAAAACCAGTTGTGTTCGTGGGCTGCATATAGATTGATCAGTAATCTCTTTGTAACTAGACTGCCAGGCACTCACATCCAGATGTGAAGCAAAGGAGCATGGTTACAGGATGTCTTGGACCAAGTAGGTTAGCCCAGTAGTAACTTTAATTTGTAAGTGATCTGTTTCAAATTGTGGCAGTGATTATCTTAACTTGCAAGACTTCTTATGGTTTTCCTTGTTCTGCAAGGAAAATGCCAGAATATTACTGTGTAGTAGGTCAGAACTGCATTGTCTTATGCAGTGCTATTTTTTATACAGCATTGTTAAATCTCCTACAAATAAATAATTTTTATTTCATTGTGACTTTAGTATTTAGACACACAATTGTATATGACAATCACAGAAACATATGTAAATGAGACATGGGTGTTTCATGATGACTTAAGCTTTCCCATATTGGTCATTTTGTTGTAGATTGAGGAACAATCTGGTGATCTGTATGTAAATGTATAGAGAATAAAACTATCGTATATATCTGAAATATTTATTTACTTCCTAATTTTATTGACATGTCATTCCAGTACTTCTGCATTATGGTGTGTGTGTGTGTGTGTGTGTGGGGGGGGGCATCTTGCGTTGCCTCCCCAGTTTCCATGGGATACTGAGAAGTACTTTTGTTTGTCCCATACATCTGTGAAGTAATGCTGTAATTTTATTGAATTTTGTTGTAGGGAGCTTGGCAGTCGGTTCCACAAGGTGGGGACAGGCAGCCTGCAGATCAGTGAAGTTATGGAGCAGGACCAAGGCACATACCAGTGTCGGGCTGAAAACAGGGATGATTCTGTAGATGCCACTGCCACACTTGAAGTACATGGTATGTACATTGTCCCATAGACTTTAGACATTTTGGAGTATTACATGATGTAATATGCATTTTAATAGTGTATTCCGTATTCCGTATTGAGGGGGTGGGTTTCCCCATGCACTTAGACCGGTTACTGGTCTTTTAATAGTGTAACTATGATTTATGAATGTTCGTGTTTGAGAATATGGAATTATGTATAAATGTTATATTTTTTTGTGCATGTTTCATGTCATAATGCATTTTGTGCATTCCATTTTAACTTATTGAACTTGACATCATTGAAAAGTGTTGTCAGCAAAGACTGGAAGGAACAGTAGCAGGTATGAATTGGACGTGAATGGAAAAACATTGCATTTTGTGCAGTTCCCCTATGAAATGTTCTCTGTCATTTCTACATATCACATAATCAGTGGCATTACTTGGCAGTGAACAGTTCAAACTATAGTGTGACCGCTCACTTCCTTGGGCCCTTTATGTTGTGCACCACGCTGTTACCGTCCTCCTTGATCCTACGTTGTGCTCCACTTATCAGCATCCTCCCTCTTCTCGTAGATGTCGAGAAGTTAGATGGAAAGGGAGAATTGTGGTTGCTGGAGCTGTTACGCGAGAGCAGGTAAAGATGGGAGTAACTGGGTTCTGTTCAGTAATCAGTAGAGCTGAGTTCCTATCCTGGGTCTTATAAGGGTCTGGCTCGGGCAGGGCAGGAAGAACCTTTCTGCTTCAATCACACACACACACACTTTAGACCATTGCCCTTAATGGTCATTTAGTCCCTTCCAGCATACTGAATACAACTGAATTTATTAATATACTTAATTTGAACTTTACTTATACTACTTTACGGAAGGGCCGTAGTTGTAAAATTTTGTGTCAGACTTTGCCGAAAGTTGTATCAAGACTCCTCGAGGTGGAATGCCCTCTCTCTCTGAATCCTGAGGTCCACGAACCCCAGACTCCAAGAGAAATCCACTCTTCCACTTCTGCCATTGGTTAAGTTTTCAAACTAGGAGGTTCCCTAAATTTTGAATTCCCAATCATGTTGCTCTGCTATGTGATTCTGGCAGATGCTGACCTGACGCTAAGGTCGACAGCCCCTTGATGCATTACGGTCAGGGTGTGAGGCTCCGGCCGTCCCACTTCTAAGTTATCGCTGTCCCAAGCTGTCAGCTCTCATTTTCTCAAAGCCTTTCCGACTTTGCTGAAACTGCCAGAATTCTAGGAAATTACCAGATGTTACTTCCTGTCCACATAGCAAAACTTGAACTATGTCCCTTCCGCGTGTAAGAGCTGGCTATCTGCCGGATCTCTTTGTTTGTAATTTTAACTTAATACAAATTTAATTAATGCACACAGCAGTCCTCCAGTCAGAATGAACGGTTACAATAGTTAGCTCGATATCATGCCAAAGAAACATGAAGAACATGGCATATTTTCATAGGTTATTTAACAATGATTTCAATATCAGTATTATTAAGCATTAGTTGATGGGTTGACTGATGGATGATGAACTGGAAGGGATTTGGAAGGAAGTGTTCATGGCCTAACTAAGGTACTATCCAAACATTTGCTAGGAATGACTGAGGAGAATTACAGAAAATTCACTCAAGATAGCTGGTGTCCTGGCCAAGACTGAAACCGAGCCCTCACTGATTACAAATTGCCCTTTGGCCAACATGTTCATTTTGAGCATGAAATGATCATGTAGTTATTAAATGCATAATGAATTGAGAT